AGACAAACATACCTAGCTTACTAGTGGAATACAGGGTATTAGTCAAACAAAGATACCTAGTTTACTAATGGAATACAGGGTATTAGTCAGACATACATACCTAGTTTATTAATGGAATACAGAGTATTAGTCAGACAAACATACCTAGTTCACTAATGGAATATAGGGTATTAGTCAGACAAACATACCTAGTTTACTAATGGAATACAGGGTTTTAGTCAGACATTCATACCTCGCTTACTAATGGAATACAGGGTATTAGTCAGACATAAATCCCTAGTTTACTAGTGGAATACAGGGTATTAATCAGACAAAAATACCTAGCTTACTAGTGGAATACAGGGTATTAGTCAGACAAAGATACCTAGTTTACTAATGGAATACAGGGTTTTAGTCAGACATTCATACCTCGTTTACTAATGGAATACAGGGTATTAGTCAGACATACATACCTAGTTTACTAATGGAATACAGGGTATAAGTCAGACAAACATGCCTAGTTTACTGATGGAATACAGGGTATTAGTCAGACAAACAAACCTAGTTTACTAATGGAATATAGGGTATTAGTCAGACAAACATACCTAGTTTACTAGTGGAATACAGGGTATTAATGAGACATACCTAGCTTAATAATGAAATACAGGGTATTAGTTAGTCAGACATACCTAGTTTACTAATGGAATACAGGGTATTAATCAGACAAACATACCTAGTTTACTAGTGGAATACAAGGTATTAATCAGACATACCTAGTTTACTAATGGAATACAGGGTATTAGTTAATCAGCCATACTTAGTTTACTAATGGAATACAGGGTATTAGTTAGTCAGACATAAATCCCTAGTTTACTAATAGAATACAGGGTAAAATTAAATCAAACACAAATCCGTAATTTACTACTATAATACAGGGTATTTGTAAGCCACTGATATTCCTGACACCTTGCCCGAGATATACCTACATACGGGTGAAGACGGAGGTCACCGTGTAGACCTGAGAGATACACTGCTGTTTGTTTGCACACAGACTGTCGTTTTTGTTCGTGTAAGTCTCGTTTGTGCAATGACCGAAGGACGTCACCGTCACATCAACCCCATCACCAAAACAACTTAAGTTGTTGCCAATCACGCGCTCCAGGAATTCCGTGTAATCCGTGTCGTTGGTACAGGTACATTGTGACTGATCCATGGGAACCTTCAACATGTAATGAAGAACCACCGAGGAATGGGCCGCCGGAACTCCGGCAATTACTGTACACAAACACACAAAAATGTCTCAGTAAAACATCCAAATCATGTTAGATACTTTAACATACTGCATACCGGGACATTTTCGCTGCAGTTTACCAATTTTACTGGCGAGGGGCGACAGTTTGACAGGCTAAAAAGTTTCCAGTATACCGTATAGAGCTTAATGAAATAACGATCTTTTTATTTTGCTATATCATTCTCACAATGAAACAAGTTTCTCCGATTCATATATAAATACTTCAAAAATATTGAAGGATTACCTTGAATATATTTTTTGTGTTATAGCTCCATAACATGAAAAATATACTCAAGTTAATTCTTATAATTTAATCTACTATATATTGATGGACTCTTTTCTCTTAGAAATTATTGCGCTGCTGTATCAGCCAATCAAAAGCGACGTTACAAACGGCGACGTCATTTTTTTACGTTATGGGCTGATAACATACATTTTTAAGTCAATGAAAATGCTTGTTACAAGCAAGATTAAATTACATACCATTATGATAATAATAAACATATCGAAGGAAAAGATGTCGAAGCCAGATAACTTTGTTACTTAATCTTATTGTCCAGTAGTTGAAATGCAATTATTTATGAACAAAACAGAGGCCAAAGGATGAGTGTCTGTAAGGCCTTTTTTGGGCTCCGATGTATCCGAACTTTTACCTTCTTAATTTGTTCAAAGATGTCTTATTGTATCACATGTGCAAGAACTAAGGCAAAAGTTTGGCTGAAAATAAGTTGTTGTTGGGGTCCAAAAGGGGTAGGGAAAATCACAAATATAATTTGCTGTTTTTCAAAATGAGTTAATACAGCCAAAATGACACCATTTCTGTTTTTGCAAACATGTGTCAATTAAACAGGCATATATAAAAGAAAGAAAAAAACAGAAATTCAATCGTCACTTAAAGATTGTATATATAAAACGGAGGATTAAGTCAGGGGGTTGTTTTAGGTAATTTTCAAAGAAAAGGTGTTTTGTTTTCCCAATAATTTCGTTTCTTACTTATATTTAGTGTAAACAATTACAACTTTACTCATTTGAGTACACTTACATAACATGCATATTCACTACACACTTTCTTCCTTTTGTTTTATACTGAGTTATGGCTTCTGGACACATCTCAAACTTAGGCAAGGATATGCACTTTGGTCCTTTTATTGTACAAAAAATGTGTTTTTTTTAATTAAAATGGCATTGTGGTATATGTATGAAACGTTCACAAATTAAATATAATTATATGACTTATATCTATGCCAAATTGCATGCTTAGCCCAAAAACCTTTTATGTATAATCAGCGCATAAACATTGGAAATAGGCAGAACAATTGATAAAACAATGAAATGGCTTAAATTTAACGATTAAAACAGATTCTTTCCTTGAGGCTCATAGACTTTTAAATTAAAATTACCACCAAATCAAACTTCAGGTATCAACAATTTTACAGGAGTTGTGTTGGCAAATACCTTTTTTTATTTGTAAGTTAGCTTTTATAAGTAAGAAACAAATCAGGACCTGAAACTCACTTCAACCACAGGCATTGAACAAATGTTATAATATATGTATATTATACAATATAAACTATTAATATCTCTTACTTAAAAACATATCAAGGGTGTCCTGCACCTTTTAATTCACTGACGATTGAGAGATATTTGAAATTGCCAAGTTTGAGATGTGTCCAGAAGCCATAACCTGGTGGCCTAGTAGATTGATCTGTCATTGTTCCTGGTTGTGTGGTAGATTGGTCCTGGCGAGTTGGCGTGATAGTTTGACTTGTCAACGTACTTGATAAATCTGAAGTCCGGCCTAGACTTGATGGTGTAGTAATTTGTCCCAGACTTGATGGTGTGGTCATTTGTTCCAGACCTTGTGTGGTAGACTGCCACGCCCCTTGTGACGCACCACACGTAAAAGTCATGGACTTGTTTGGCACTTGTCTGTCACAGCTGACGAATTGAGCTTGTGCGTGTGTCGTGTTCAGAATTGAGGTTGGACCGCTATAACCTGTAAGAGTGGAGCGTTAACACATTCATCGGCTAATATGAAAGCAATATGTTACAAGCTGCGAGTTCAAGTTTGACACCGACATGATTGAAGAGTAGCTGTTATTTCGACGTTTGGTTGTCTGTCATACTGCCAACAATAATATGGACTCAGGGTTTTGATAGGTAATCATATGGCTTGGATTTCAATGTGCATTTGACACAATGCCTTAAAATTCATACTGATTTGTAATATGATATATTTATTTAATATTTTGGTATAGTTTTAATGAATCTATTATTATCTAACATTAACTAGATTGGATCAATTGGCTCGATTTACCTGTCAGCAGTCTGAATTTTAAGCACTTTCTGCTCATGCACACTAAAAAGGAATGTGGTGTTCAACTGTCAATGAAAATGCACCGATCTAAATCCAATATTTGTCATCGCAATCAGTTGGCTAAGGTATTACGATGAACACAAGTTCAAATACACTTACATGACTTATTTCCATGACAACCAGGATCAGTACAATTGAGAGACGCGACGTTGACCGTCAATAGAGAGTTAGGCCAATCTGGCAAGGTATGGCTGTTTGGTAAATTGCTGTACTTCGTTTTGTTTGGGAATTGGCTGAAGAATGTCCGAATTTTATCACACAGTGATCGGAATCCCTTTCTGCGAAAAAGAAAATTTTGAATGAATCATTGTGCAATAAATCTGTCCACAAATATATAGGACCCGGAAAGTTAGGAGTTTGAATGATCCTATTTCTGAGTTCAAAATGTCAAATAAAAAGACCACAGTGATATTTGATGATAAAAAGTCAATGTCACATTAAACAAGTAAGGAATGTAAAACAAGTACAGTGGTAACCATTGTTTTCATTTGTTTCCTATTCACATACATTACTAAGCGGAATATATTAGCATTAGTCAGACATAAATACCTAGTTTACTAATGAAACACAGGGAATTAGTTAGTTAGACATAAATACCTAGTTTACTAATAGAATACATGGTATTAGTTAGTCAGCCATAACTATCTAGTTTACTAATGGAACACAGGGTATTAGTCAGACATAAATCCTTAGTTTACTAATAGAATACAGGGTATTTGTAAGCCACTGATATTCCTGTACACCTTGCCCGAGATATACCTACATACGGGTGAAGACGGAGGTCACCGTGTAGACCTGAGAGATACACTGCTGTTTGTTTGCACACAGACTGTCGTTTTTGTTCGTGTAAGTCTCGTTTGTGCAATGACCGAAGGACGTCACCGTAACATCAACCCCATCACCAAAACAACTAAAGCTGTTGCCGATCACGCGCTCCAGGAATTCCGTGTAATCCGTGTCGTTGGTACAGGTACATTGTGACTGATCCATGGGAACCTTCAGCATGTAATGGAGAACCACCGAGGAATGGCCTGCCAGAACTCCGGCAATTACTGTACACAAATACACATATACATCTCAGTAAAACATCCAAATCATGTTAGATACTTTAACATACTGCATGGCGGGACATTTTCGCTGCAGTTTAAGTTTCACCCTCCATGACGAGGGCGATTTATCATAGCAGCGAACAACATAATATACCTAGTGATTAAATGCACGGGCGAAATTAAAACTGGGCAAATATGGACTTTACCGGCGAGGGGCGAAAGTTTGACAGGGTGAAAACGTTTCCAGTATACGGTATAGAGCTTAATGAAATCACGATCTTTTGATTTTGCTATATTATTATCACAATGGAACAAATTTCTCCAATATTTATATAAATACTTATATTATATATCATTATAATAATAATATACATATCGAAGGAAAAGATGTGGAAGCCAGATAACTTTGTTGCATAATTTTATTTTCCACAAGTTGAAATGCATTTATTTATGAACAAAAAAGGGGCCAAAGGATGAGTGTCTATAAGGCCCTTTTTGGGTTCCGATACATCCGAATGTTCACCTCCTTGATTTGTTCAAAGATGTCTTTCTATATCACATGCGCAAGAACTAAGACAAAAGTTTGGCTGAAAGTGTGTGTTAGGGGTACCAGAAGGGGTAGGGTAAATCACAAATATAATTTGCTGTTTTTCAAAATGAGCTAATACCGCCAAAATGATACCATTTATGTCTTTGGAAACATGTGTAAATTTGACAGGCATATATAATAGAAAGAAAAAAACAGAAATTCAATCGTCATTTAAAGATTGTTTATATAAAAGGGATGATTAAGTCAGAGGGTTGTTTTAGGTAATATTCAGAGGAAAAGTATTTTGTTTACCCAATAACTTCCTTCTAATTTATATTTTGAGTTGAGTACTCATTTGAGTACACTTACATAATATGCATATTCACTACACAAAACAACGCCCTGACTTGATCCTCCGTTTTACATAAACAATATTTAAGTGACGATTGAATTTCTGTAATTCTTCATTCTATGATATAATTTTAATTTACACATATTTCCAAAAATTATGATTTTGGTTGTTTTAGCTCATTGAAAACAGCAAAAACCCACTTTCGGCCAAACTTTTGCCTTAGATTTTGCGCATGTGATACAATAAGACATCTATAAACAAGTTAAGGAGGTGAAAATTCGGATATAACGGGGACCAAAAAAGGGTCTTATGGACTCTTATCCTTTCCAAATACACAACTTTTAATTGAGTTGGTCTTGAAACAAATTCAACATGAACTGCTTCGCAGTTCATTAATTTTGTTTCAAGACCAACTCAATTCATCACCCCATGAAATTGACCAAAGCCAGATTCAATCCTTAAATGGTCCAAAGTATCGAGAAACCGTAAAATCAAATGGAATATGAATTTCAAAATAGTGATGAGTGATTTGGAAGACAACGCCAGACAGTAGGCAATTCGAGCAGAATTAGATTTACTTTCAGATATGGTTACATCCATTATGTTGTTGTGTCTCCGGACAAGGTCCAAACCACAGTCAACGATCTGTATGATAAGTAACTTGTGTCTCCGGACAAGGTCCAAACCCCAGTCAACGATCTGTATGATAAGTAACTTGTGTCTCAGGACAAGGTCCAAACCACAGTCAACTATCTGTATGATAAGTATGTTGTTGTGTCTCCGGACAAGGTCCAATCCACTGTCAACGATCTGTATGATAAGTAAGTTGTGTCTCCGGACAAGGTCCAATCCACAGTCAACGATCTGTATGATAAGTAAGTTGTGTCTCCTGACAAGGTCCAAACCACAGTTAACGATCTGTATGATAAGTAAGTTGTTGTGTCTCCGGACAAGGTCCAAACCACAGTCAACTATATGTATGATAAGAAGGTTGTTGTGTCTCCGGACAAGGTCCAAACCACAGTCAACGATCTGTATGATAAGTATATTGTTGTGTATCCGGACAAGGTCCAAACCACAGTCAACTATCTGTATGATAAGTATGTTGTTGTGTCTCCGGACAAGGTCCAAACCACAGTCAACGATCTGTATGATAAGTAAGCTGTGTCTCCGGAAAAGGTCCAAACCACAGTCAACGATCTTTATGATAAGTATGTTGTTGTGTCTCCGGACAAGGTCCAAACCACAGTCAACGATCTGTATGATAAGTAAGTTGTGTCTCCTGACAACGTCCAAACCACAGTCAACGATCTGTATGATAAGTAAGCTGTGTCTCCGGACAAGGTCCAAACCTCAGTCAACGATCTGTATGATAAGTAAGTTGTGTCTCCTGACAACGACGAAACCACAGTCAACGATCTGTATGATAAGTAACTTGTGTCTCCGGAGAGGTCCAAACCACAGTCAAAGATCTGTATGATAAGTATGTTGTTGTGTCTCCGGACAAGGGCCAAACCACAGTCAACGATCTGTATGATAAGTAAGTTGTTGTGTCTCCGGACAAGGTCCAAACCAGAGTCAACGATCTGTATGATAAGTAACTTGTGTCTCCGGACAAGGTCCAAACCACAGTCTACGATCTGTATGATAAGTATGTTGTTGTGTCTGCGGACAAGGTCCAAACCACAGTCAACGATCTGTATGATAAGTAATTTGTGTCTCCGGACAAGGTATACAATTCCGCAATTCCTGTCTGCAAACACTGTTATATTTCCTGCCCGCAAAAACAAGTCGAATTGTTTAAATTCCGAGGAATACCTATCTCCAAACTTCAATGATTTTTGAAAGATGTAATACAAACAAATCATAATTATATTTTTGTTGATACGGACCTGCCTTATTTGTATTTGATACCGAAAATTCTACGAAACCTTACAAATATTTATCGTTGTGTGTCCTTGCTCTACCAAATTATTACACACATTTCTTACTTCTATTCATCGGACTTACAATCTTATTGACTGGTGCCTTTATTACAATAGGTCTGAAGAATTGCGGTTTGTTGACACCTCAGTATTTTCGTGTGTTTCTTTTCCTGAATCGTATGGTTATTTTCTTCTTGTCGACAGGAAATATCTCTGTTTTTTACGGCTCTCAAAGGCTTTACTAGATCTGAGGTACGGTCCTCTTCAAGTTTTCTCGAATATTCCCCCGGACACAAATCCAGACTGAAACAGTTTTCACTTCCATTCCGACACACGGCAGGTTCTCTTTACCTTGTTTGGCTGTCCACATCGATTTTCGATTTATTTTTGAAATGTGTTTCAACACTGAAAGTGGTTGACTCTGCTGTTAGACTGTGAGGATAAGTGTAACCTTGTTGGACTGTCAGTCTGTGAGGATAAGTGTAACCTTGTTGGACTGTCAGTCTGTGAGGATAAGTGTAACCTTGTTGGACTGTCAGTCTGTGAGGATAAGTGTAACCTTGTTGGACTGTCAGTCTGTGAGGATAAGTGTAACCTTGTTGGACTGTCAGTCTGTGAGGATAAGTGTAACCTTGTTGGACTGTCAGTCTGTGAGGATAAGTGTAACCTTGTTGGACTGTCAGTCTGTGAGGATAAGTGTAACCTTGTTGGACTGTCAGTCTGTGAGGATAAGTGTAACCTTGTTGGACTGTCAGTCTGTGAGGATAAGTGTAACCTTGTTGGACTGTCAGTCTGTGAGGATAAGTGTAACCTTGTTGGACTGTCAGTCTGTGAGGATAAGTGTAACCTTGTTGGACTGTCAGTCTGTGAGGATAAGTGTAACCTTGTTGGACTGTCAGTCTGTGAGGATAAGTGTAACCTTGTTGGACTGTCAGTCTGTGAGGATAAGTGTAACCTTGTTGGACTGTCAGTCTGTGAGGATAAGTGTAACCTTGTTGGACTGTCAGTCTGTGAGGATAAGTGTAACCTTGTTGGACTGTCAGTCTGTGAGGATAAGTGTAACCCCTTGCTGGACTGTCAGTCTGTCAGGATAAGTGTAACCTTGTAGTCTGCATTAATTATTGCACGAATTCCATAAAAAGGTATCTGTTGTGGCCAAACTTTGTATACGATATAGTGTTTTATATGCACCCTTTTTTCTACATGTTTGTGAATACTTTATGTGTTTTTTTGTCTTTCGATGTTTAATACTACTGATGAACCCTTAATAGACCAAATGGCCATGTGGCGCAATAAATGGTCACTCAGTGTAATGTAAATACCGCTTAACTAACCTTTTAAAAAGACGCTGTTTTATTTAGTATTTCTAATGATTTATTTCTGTTTCGGTCCAAGACGATGCTCGATAAACTACTGTAATGCAAGCTGTTTTGGGTATGTTGATTAGATGTATTTTCTTGGATATATCATTTTTGCTCCAGGATTTCATTTTCCCGTACATCGTTTTTAAGCCAAATTGCCGTGCTTATTTACCTCCTTGTCTCCTGTCATTCACTGTATACGCTAGCTATCGATACCTCCTTGTCTCCTGTCATTCACTGTATACACTAGCTATCGATACCTCCTTGTCTCCTGTCATTCACTGTATACGCTAGCTATCGATACCTCCTTGTCTCCTGTCATTCACTGTATAC